TGGCGATAATGTAAATGGCGATAATGTAAATGGCGATAATGTAAATGGCGATAATGTAAATGGCGATAATGTAAATGACGATAATGTAGATGACGATAATGTAAATGGCGATAATGATGATAATGTCGATGGAATAACGCCATCGAGGTGAATTTAAAATAATGGCCTCTGAATTTAAAGATTAATCAATTTTATATTAAACTTTTTTTTTTATGCATTAATGTTTGTATAGGTTAAGATTATTCGAACAACATCTTGATCGTGTGACATCTTCGCCAGATTTTGATGGTCAAAGATTATTTACTACTTTAATTCAAGATATCAATAACGAATTACCGGAAGACCAACGATTTACCACGGAGGAAGCTCAAGCAGCATTAAAGAAGATGGAAGATGTGAATAAGGTTATGTATAGTGGTGAAATTATTTATGTCATTTAAGGTAGGAATAATCAGTAATATCAGGGCACGTCCTTACGTCCGTGCTACAGTAATTATAAAAAAAAACAAAAATATAGGAACGTTAAATTGTCTTATAAGTAGAAAAAGACATGTAGAATCGATTTCATTCAGTTTATATGAATAATAAACATAATTGAATATTACATTCGACGAATATTAATCAATCTGACTAAAATTGTGATTAGTAGATCATCAAATTATGACCGACATTAAAATTTTAGTAGTGTAGATTTGAAGATGATTTGAGCTCACCTTCGATCAAAAAAAAAATATATTACCGTTTAGCACTGTATACAGTACCCAGGGTCTTATTCAAGAACACCATTTTTAGTACCGGGTACTATTCACGAATCCAGCGATTTCATTGGTGGAGAAGGAGGGTACTTTATGTGGTAGGATATTATTCGAGGGGGGTACTTTATACAGTGCTAAACGGTAATGCTTCGAAATTTTGAATACATAATATACATTATAATGAGTCCCAAATCGCTAATAAATAGAGTCAAAAGAACTATTTGGGATTGTTTCCCAACATCTGCTTATGCTACGTATGCGATGAAGTTAAACATAGCATATAAATGCATATACTCAAAATTATGCGCATGTGATAAATATTCGGGGGGTGCAAAACTGAGACTTTGATTCTTATTCATGTTTTATTCATTTTACTTGATCGCAAATTAATTGATTAGGTATTAGCATTAATAATTGTAAAGAAAAAAAAAGTAATGCGCGGGAGTGAACTTTCTCCATGATAATGCAAAACATTCATCCTAAAAAAAAGATCGAATTATTCCTAAAGAAATGAAATTAAAGGTTTCGGCAAATCTCAAATCTTAAATTCTCATCAAATGCTTTTTTCATTTTGGTTTTTACTAGGGTTCTGCAACTCAGGCAGTGCTGGCCGATGACCTAAGTCATACCATTTTTTTTTATATGGCCTTGGTCATACTGTATAAGCATATAACTTTTTGGTCATATATTGGTCATATTTAAATGCTAATAAAAAAATTTTTTACTATGATTCTTGTTATATTAAAAAAGGTCATAAGTTATATTAACCCTCATTATGACCAAATGACCTGACTGGTCATAAAGGTCATATAGGTCATTGAAGGTCATCGCGGCTCACACAGCGCTTCCGATGTACAGGGAAACACAAGCAAAATTCCCGGAAAATCATTTTACTAATAAATCTATTT